ATGGGCAGTATAATTTTCTTTGGTCACTCTTGTTCTCAGTGTGAACGCGGTGTGTCTTATTTGTCGGGCTGCTCAGCGACCCGCGTTGATTAGCCCGATGATTTCCCCCGATCCACCCTAGCTCTTTTTGAAAGCACGCCTGTTTCTAAGTTGTCGGAATGTCCGTTCTGAACTTTGCCACGTGGAATGTTCGAGGTTTCAGATACAGGGCGAAGCAAGAAGCTCTTTTAAGATTCGCCCAGGATCAGGGTATACACATATTGTTCCTAGAAGGGACCAATATCATATTCCCTCTGGATGTCGCACACTTCCAAGGCAATTGTGAAATGGACGCCTTTTACCTTACATCAATGCGCGCATGCGGTGTGGGTGTGGTAGACTAATGCATTTTTTCAAGAGCTCCACACGTTACTACTTGAGCCGCTCCCCCATGTCATACTTGGAACTTCAATTGTGTTGTGAACTCACAGAGGGACGTGAGGGGCCCAGGCCAAGGTGGATCCACTTACCACGCGAAAGAGCTCGTGAAGCTCTTGCAACATTTGCAACGCACAAATGCCTGGGTGCATTTACATGACGAAGTATTTGGCCCCATCCGCACTTCCACAACTACTGCAACAAGACTACACAGGGTCTACCTGCCGGATTCCTAGGTTAGCTCGCTCCAAACTTGCGAGGTTGTGCACTTACCACCCTGCTTACAGCGAAAATCTGACCATTCGCCGGTAGGTGTGACCGTCAGCGGGAACGCAGTATCGCGCACGGAAAACTGGAATTGGTGGCTGGACCCAGCCCTTTTAAGTGATCCAACAAGTGTAGAAAGTAATACGGGAAAAACCTCGAACAACGGTGGCTCGTATCCCACAAAGTCCTGAAAAATGGAATACTTTAAAAGGCGCCTGATAAAAGATCTTACAGGAAGAGGGAAGAGCAGGACATAGACGTTTGACAGCCGAAATAAACGAGGTACTCCATAAAATACGAATAATTCAAAGAGCCGACACACTCACATCGTGCACCAACAAAAATCTCGAGTTTGCGGGAAAAATATAAATTACTACTGAGAAAAAAGGCATGGCGACCGGACAAATCTGCGAAACAGGAAACGCAGCTCGTGACAGAGGATTTGTGCCATATCAATGGCAATGCATCAACTAAAACACAAGCGATAACACGCCCGGACGGAACTACCACAGAAGATCCTGCGAAAATAGAAGCTACTCGGCGCAATTATTTCAAACAACAATTTGAACATGAGATCCAAACAACGACAGCCATTATTCGCGAGACCGTCAGACCCCTTTGTCGCAACCTCGGGCTTGTTGGGGAGGAAGAGGTAGCGCACATTTGCGGTGAAAGACGAGCTTTACAGTGCCATATAAAGCATGAGTCAACACACGGCCCCTGGAGGCGAAGGCCTACCGACAGCCTTCTACACTATTTTTTGGACGTCATCGGAGTCGCACACTTGCATCTCGTTAACCTGATACTACGTGAGCACACAAAGCCCAGGTCTTTCTCCGAAGGACGGATTGCATTCCTGCTTAAGGATGGCGCACCGCAGGCTGACCCGCCATTGTGGTGCCCCATCACCTTATTAAACACAGACTGGAAGTTCATGGCGACGATCATCAAATCTCGCATGAAGGTCTACTTACCGTCGATCATAGCCTCCCACCAGACGTGTGCGGTCCCCGGCCGCTATATTTCTCAAACTTGACAGTGTTAAGAAACACTTTCGAGTATGCTTCTAGGAGGGAACTCAGTGGAGCATTCCCATCCTTGGACCAGTCCAAGACATTTGACTGGGTGAATCATCCCTATCTGCATAGCGTCCTGGAAGAGTTTGAGTTCCCATGCCGATTTCGTGGCTTTAATTGGGCTGCTATACAAAGATTTCGTGAGTAGTGTGAACGCCACGATGACTGCACCTTTCGACTTCCAAGAAGGCATTCGACAAGGTTGCCCACTCGGACTAACACTCTTCGTGATATCTATGGAACCACTAATCACAAGTCTAGCAAAGTAGGAAATCATGCGGGGCGTCCCGCTGACAGGATGAGAGGAGGTCAAGAGGCTGGCTTATGCAGACGACCTTTCTGTTTTTGTTCGGGACTAACGGAGTCTGCAGGCCTTCGACGTCAGGTTCGCGGAGTACGCAGAAGTGTCCGGAGCGGCACTGAATAGGTCCAAAAGTAAGGCACTACTGTTTGGCTCTTTTCCGGTCGACGCTATTGGGGACGTACCGAGAGTCGAAACTGTTAAAGTTCTTGGGGTCTAGTTCTCATGTGAGGGGGTAGCGCCTACAACAAGGGAGAAGGCGATCGGAAGGGCAACTCAAGCTGTTTCACGAACCCAACTCATCAGCCTCACTATACGTGAGAAGGCTTTGGTGTCCAGAACTGTGGTATGCGCTTTCGCAAATTATGCAAGCAGGATTGGTGTTATACCAAACCGAGTGGTCTGCCAGCCTAACAAGCTTTTAAATAGTTTCCTGTGGGATGGATAACCTGAACCTTTGCAACGGAAACTACTGCAACTTCCTGAGGAGAGCGGGGGGCTCGGCCTTCCACTCGTGATGTGTACATGTCGGATATCGGCGCTGAAGACGGCCCGACTACTCCACCAAACAGGTGATTACATGGGTGGAATGCCTGCTCATGTAATGGGCCAGCACCAGCACGGGCTTCTTGGAGGCGGGAAGGCACGCAAGACCACGGTCGGAAAACCCCTCTTTGTTTTACAAGACGACGGCTAACACAAAGAAAATACTAGAAAAAGAAGCCACGGAGTGCAATGTTGGCAAAGACCCGTATGCCCACATTGTCGAAAGAATCACCTTGGGCTAGTTGTCGGCTGAGGAAAGGCGCCGAATATCCTCATTGAAGCTGGTTGGCAGCAAGCCGAACCGCAGCCTCCCCAAAGAAACTCACGACTTCGAATGGAAGCGGAAATTGAATATTTTATCAACCAGGAAAACGGCTGCATAAGCTAGGGATTATGCCGAGTGCTCACTGCCCCAATTGCCGCGCCACTGAAACCCGTGCGCACACTCTGACTGCGTGGCGGTAAAGCCGGTTTGGCGAATGGTTTCCAAAGAATTCAAAATTAAGCCACCACCCTCGCACCTCAGGAATAAAGGGAAATACGCCAAGTTAGTCATGGTGTGTACGATGTTCGCGATATGGAAGCGAAGGAGCCTGGCAGAAGCAACGAATGCTCCGGCTCGCGCGGCGTATCCCACAATGCGCAAAATTAGGTTGCTGCTCTGGAAATACTTAGCTGAACAATCAGAGGCGAGCGGCGAAGAGAGCTTCATGCGCCGATGGCACACGCGGTTCTTTTTTATTAGGAAGGGGCATTTAGTTCAACCAGTATTACCTTACTGACCCTCCCTCCTATGCTTTCTCGGGAGGGGGAGGGAGCAGTGAGGGCGCTCATGGTTGTTGTGAGTTCATGTACGCCATGTGAATGTGTATGTTTTTAGAGTCGTGAACTTCCACAATTTTTGGAGTGTATGGTTTATAAGCCTATGAGTTGTTAGTGCTACCGCATAAGTGTTCGCCTACGTGCATGCTCTTTTAAAAAGTAGGGTGAAAAACTGCTACTCATTACATAGGATGCAACCAGGAGAGCCCATGTATACTTCGCGAATGGTTAATAAACCCTGCTTTTGCTCTTGTTTTTGCAATTGTTTTCGCAAACGACTTGTTTTTTGCATTGTTATTAGGCTTGCTTAGATTCGTAATTTTTCACAATTTCTGCAGTTTATGCTTTAAAAGCTTATGAACTGCTACTTTTAACGTATAAGTGTTCGCCTGAGTACATGCACTGTTAACGGCGCTGAACTGTTCTTTTGTTGCATAGGATGTAACCCGGAAAGTCCATGTATACTTCGTGAATGGTTAATAAACCTTCCCTTCGCCAAAAGGCCTGTTCGGCCTTTTGGCTAAGATCAAAGTGTGTGTGTAAGTGTGTGAGATCAGAGTGTAAGTGTAAGTGTGATCAAAGTGTGACGCTACGGGTACGGGGAGGAGAGACTGAGGCACGTCCGCTGCCACTGCATGCGGCAGAGCCGGGCCATGACGAAGCGCCACAACGCCATCGTTGCGCGCCTCAAGAAGGCGGCCCTGGAGTAGCTCACCGTCATCGGGGAGAACCAGCAGGTCGGCGTCCCCGTCTTGCGACCCGACCTCGTCCTGGCCCGTGGTGAGGAAGCCCTGACCATGGACGGCTGCTGCCCCTTCGATAACCGCATGCAGGTGTTTCAGGAGGCTCGGAGAGTCAAGGAGGAGAAATACGCTCCTCAGAGCAGCATCTACTTCCAGCGGTTCCGGCGTGTCTCCGTCGATGCCATCGTCGTTGGCTGCCTCGGCTCATGGGAGCCGGCCAATGATCGTGTCTGCTGCAGGGTTTGCTCACAGAGCTACCTGCGGACCATGAAAAGACTTTGCGTCTCAGACACGATCACCGCCTCTATGAACATATACAGTAGCCACATAGGCGTTTTGTAAATAGTTCTTTTAAACGAGAAGCGATACCGCGTTTTTAGTGTTATACGCTTTTATTATTACTAAAACTACTAACACTTCTTAGCCTTTTTTGTTACTTGATTTTATCTATACACTTTCATTACCGTTTTTTGTTATGTTTGTAACCATGTATGTTGTTTGTATGTAACAAGCATCAATAAAGCTCTGTTCTTATCAGCCTAATTGCTGAGACACTTTGATCCGCTGGCCCACGGTCTAGAAGAGTTCCCTCCCCGGGACCCGGCTTCCCCGGGAACGCGACGTTCCTGGCTGCGCCTGCCCTTTCGGAGAGGCACCTGCTGCTGCTTACTGGTGGTGACCCGTTCCTGGACGTTTGGAGAGGTGGACCTGCTGACCTTCGTGGCCTTGGACGTTCTGGCTGGCCATGGCGACCTCCGGATGCTGGACGGCGGTTGGTGAGAGTCTACCGCTCATTTCTTTGCTTGGCTCTTCCCTGCCGCGTGCTACATGCCTGGCCCGGTCGTCACTGCCTGCTGGCGACGTCATCGGGCCCCGGTCACCGTCGTGACTGCATCGCCGTCGTCGCCTGCCGCCCGGCCCACCTCGTCCTGCCCGGTCCTGCTGCCCGCCGGACCCGCCAACATGGATCCCGCCCACACGAGTTCCGCGAGCGGTCATCGTCCCAGGCGTTGCCATGCTCTTGCCCCTTCTGACTCCCCGGCACCACCCCCTCCTCAGCAACCTCGGTCAGGGACTCCGGATTCCCCTGCGCGGGCACTTCATCGCTTACGTCCACTGCGTCGCCCTCATCTGGACCGGCTGGTTCCGAGCGCCGGCGTCTTCACGCCCTGCCGTCCCGGTGCAACCACGCCAGTCGATCCTGCACGGCGACGTTCTTTGGGTGTACCTCCCGGCCCCGGCGGAGCTGCAGTGTCCGGTTGGCGACTGCAGCATGCAGTATAGCGGGGCCGGTTAGACGTGTCTCGTGAATTCGGTGCTGCGCCACGTAGAATTCGAGCACGGCGTTCGTGTAAACGATCGAGTCCGCGTGTGCTTGGTGTGCGACTCGCCGCTGAGGTCCCGGCCTTCCTACCACCACTGTCTGGCCACTACCGCGCTGCCGCCTTCGACGGAGGCGCCTCAGCGTCGCTGTGCGACGCAACTTTTACGTCTGCGCGTGACCTGGCCAATCATCTGCAATGCCACGACGACCAGGCTGGGCCCCCCGGCACCGCTTGTGTCCTGGCGTGTGCGCCACGTCAGCAGCTCAACCACCACTTCTTTGTCCTCCTCGGTTTCCCCGCCGCCTGCAGTGTCCCGCGCTTCGCGACGCCTCAGAGGCCTAGCGCCTTCTGACGACGCACATTTGGTACGGCCCTCGTCGTCTCCGGCCGCTGGGTCGGGGGCCTCTTCGCCCGCGTTGATCGGCGAACCACCTGCCTTCGTGTACGTGTTTCCCAGCGGTTAGTTGACGTCCGTGGGCTCGGCCTCTCTCCCCGGTTCGCCGGCACCATATCCTACCACAAGCCCGGTCGCCTCCGAGCAGCCCATGTGCGACGCTGGAGTTGTCACGTCTTCCGGGCCGCCACACATCGGGGTCGCGACACCCACCGGTGTTACCGTGGATTCGCCCGTTCCCGGGTCACCACGGTCACCGGATTCTGCGTCGCCGCAAAGACCATCTTCATCTGCCAGGCAAGTCCTGGTTCTATACGACCTCGGGCCTTCGTCGTCGTCGCCTGGCAAGGCTCCCGCCTCGCGCGGCTCGTCGGCGGCTTTGCCCGTTGGCGATGCCGCGTTTCTGCCGAACGACAGCGGCCACAACGCGCTCTCCGACGACGTCGTGGTGTCTTCACCGCCGCTTGATGCCGGGTCGTCCCCGGTTGTTTTGCCATGGTTCCCGGGGTCTCCGGCCTCCTCCCCGTCGCCGTCCGCGTCCGTGGACGAGGCCTCGGCGGTTCCCGGCGCACCCGACGAAGTACCGGAGCAGCCCTACTCTGACAACGCGACGCTCCAGATGCCACCGGACCACACACGCCTCCTCGAGGACCAGGCACGCCTGCTTCGCTCCTTGTTGCGAGACCCGCCCTCTGACGAGCCGTAGGCTCAATGCGAGGCAGCTTGGACGCGGGCCGCCGCCTTGGCTGTCACGGCGGTGCGTCTTCCACTGGTGCGTCCTGGTCGCAAGCGCCGCCATTTTGACCCTTCCAACGCGGTCGACATCACATTCAGCGGCTGTACCGCTGCAACAGTCGCCGTGCAGTCCGACTGACCCGGGAGGGGCCGCCACAGACGAGTGCCATCCCATTACAGGACCTGCAAGATCACTGGGGGCGCTTTTGGTCGGCGCGCCAAGTCGACTTTACCTTACTACTCGGACGCGATCAGGCTCCGGCGGGCGTCGACACATCGAACTTTTCGACGGACGAGGTGTTTGGGCGCTTACGCAAGTCGGAGATAACTGGCTCCTGGCGCAGACCAGTTTAACCTATCACCATTGGTGAACGGTCGACCCGGAGGCACGGTTCCTGACAGCGTTGTTCAACGCCTGCCTTCACCACCGCCGAATGCCGGACTCCTAGAGCAAGACACGGACCGTTCCTCATCTTCGAAGAGGGGAGATCCGCAAGTCCCGTCGAACTGGCAGCCCATAGCCCTCGGCTGCACGGCATCGAACCTTTATGCCAAGTGCCTTGCAGCCCAGGCTCTAGGCGTGGATGATCGAACACGCCGCTGTTGTCAAAGTGCCAGAAGGACTTCCTTCCACACGATGGCGCTGTTCGAACTTAACTACATATGCTGCATGCATATATATTGATATTTTAGTGGGTGACACACGTGTGTTCCTGACAAGGAAGACGAAGAGTGGTCTCCGCTTCCTCGCTGGTGAACCGGGCCCGCCATTACCGCTGGTTTTGATATATCTAATCCCCAGCCTCGTCGTTACGGCGTCTTTTCTTTTCCGTAACACATTTGGTGGAGGTGGAACGTTCCCCGTCTTGACCACGAAGCTTCGCAGTGGCCGTACCATTCAGTCTCCGGCGAAGGCTACCTATGACAACAGCCTGTCAGCGTCTCCATCTGTAGCTCCAGCCACTACATACCTGACGATGCCCACCCCCCGTGATCCAGGTACATTCTCCGCACAACTTGGGCTCGACGTCGACTACTGGCTCCGTATGTACGAGCGTGTTAGCCACACACATCGATGGGACCCTACCATGGTGCTCGCCAACGTAATATTTTACTTGGACGGCACCTCACGAGTCTGGTTCGACGCCCATGAGACCGAGCTCACCAGCTGGGATACCTTCCAGGAGCGACTACGCGACATCTTTGGGGACCCGTCCGGTTGCCAAATGGAAGTGCGAAAAGAACTCGTCACTCGTGTGCATTCGTCAACAGAGTCCTATGTCTCCTACATACAGGATGTGCTCGCGTTGTGCCGAAAAGTCGACGAGCAAATGACAGAGAGTGACAAGGTGGGCCACATACTTAAGGGCATCGTGGACGGCGCCTTCAATTTGGTCGTCTACAATAACGTCATGACCCTAGATATGACTATCAAGGAATGCCGTCGCTTCTAAATGGCCAAAAGCCGCCGTGTTCTGCCTCAATTTACGCGGCTACCAAACACGGCTGTTAGACCCACTTGCACCGATCTCGGTGCCGCACCACCCATGCAGGACAGCGTGACACGAATAGTTCGATGGGAGCTTGAGGCGTCAAGTCCGGCACCATTTCCTCCACATCCGCTCGACCATGGCGCCGCACAAACGCCTCCACCAGTCTCCGTTATTCAAGCCGTCCTGAGGCAGGAAATTGCAAAGCTTGGTTTTCCTGTGGCCTGCTCTGTCTCCCGACCCGTCTCCAGACCAATGACAACAAATGCACCACGCCATGACTTAGACTTTATTCCGCGATCCCGCAATCCAGCGGAATGGAGAACTGCAGACGACAAACCAATCTGCTTCCGCTGCCACTGAGTTGGCCATATCTTCCGCTACTGCCGCTGCACTTGGACGCCCTCAAACTGGAGCCAATTTTTCTCTAATCGACCATACGAGGACTCCCGTCGGTATTCGCCCAGTCGTGTGTACCCTTCTTTCGACATCCCCAACAGCCGCTCCACTGCTCGTTCGCCGCCACCTCAACGCCGCCGTTCCCCATCGCCCCAACCACGCCGCTATCCATCACCGGTCAACTGTGGATCCTCTCGGACGAAAAACTAGATCATGAAGCTCCAGGAGGTAGTGCAGCATCACTTGCGAATGATCCAAATCCTCCATTGACGCTCCCCACTGACACGGTATTTCTTTGACCGCGTTAGTCGATACCGGAGCTCAAGTGTCCATCATGAGTGCTCATCTGTGTCGCCTGCTCAAAAAAGTCCTCACGCCTGCAGAAACTAAAGCCCTCCGTGTCGCTGATGGTGGAACTGTGGCCATCACTGGAATGTGTACCGCTCGTGTTAGTATTGCCGGCCGCCATGTTCCCGTTTTATTTACGGTGCTTGAAAATTGCCCCCACGACCTAATCTTCGGCATAGACTTCCTATCGACGCATTCTGCCCTCATAGATTGTGCCGCCAGTACTCTCTGCCTAGAACTTCCTCTTCTCCCGGATTCTTACTTTGAACTCCCGAACAGCTTGTGCACCACTGACTTCTTCTGGACACCGCCTAAAGCTCTCACATTTATCGAATTGGCAACACCCTCTCCTGTGCTCGACGGTTATTGTATCGTGACGCCGATTACTGATGTTCTCCTGGCGCGTGACATTACTGTCCCACACTCTGTCGTAAACATGGCCTCTAACCGAACATATTTACCTGTTATCAATTTCGGTTTCATAAAACAAGTGCTACCCCACGGAATTTTGGTCGCCAAACTAAGGCCCTTAATTTACGACGACGTCACCTGTTTTACGGCAGACATATGTCCCGAGCACCCACATCACTCGCAGGATGCCACGTGCCTCGATGCGACCTTACACTCCATGATCGCCCCGGACCTCAAACCTGAGAAGTCAACCGCGGTATGCCGCCTTCGGGCTTCGTACCGCGACATATTCGATATCGACCACCATCCACTCGGCCAGACTTCACTCGTTGAGCACCGCATTAACACAGGTGATTCTCATCCCATTAATCGGCGACCATACCGGCTGTCTGCCACCGAGCGTAAAATAATTCAACAAGAAGTCACCAAGATGTTAGCCAAAGGAATTATTGAACCCTCTTCGAGCCTTTGGGCATCCCCCGTTGTGCTCGTTAAGAAGAAAGATGGCACGTGGCGCTTCTGCGTGGATTACCGTCATCTGAATAGAATCACGAAAAAGGACATTTACCCTTTACCCCGCATCGATGACGCTCTCGATTGTCTCCACGGCGCCCGATACTTTTGCACAATAGACCTACGTTCCGGCTACTGGCAGATTGCTGTCGACGAAAAAGACCAAGAGAAGACTGCATTTGTAACTGCAGACGGCCTATATCAGTTCAAGGTTATGCCATTTGGGCTATGCAACGCCCCAGCCACGTTCGAGCGCATGATGGACTCTCTGCTACAAGGGTTCAAATGGTCAACTTGTCTTTGTTATCTTGACAATGTCGTTGTATATTCTTCAAAATTTGAGACCCACCTTCAGCGTTTGTCAGCTATTCTCGACATATTCCGCACTGCAGGCCTCCAATTGAACTCGTCGAAGTGCCGCTTCGGACGCCGCCAAATTACAATGTTAGGCCACCTTGTAGACGCCTCTGGTGTGCAGCCGGACCCCGAGAAAATTCGTGCAGTCACCAGTTATCATGCACCCCAGTCAGCCAAAGACTGTCCGGAGTTTTGTAGGACTTTGCTCCTATTTTAGAAGGTTTGTGAAAGATTTCGCAACCATCGCTCGACCCCTCACAGAGCTTCTAAAGAAAGACGTCACATTTACGTGGGGTACCGACCAAGCTGCTGCTTTTTCTCACCTAATCACGCTACTGACGACTCAACCCATATTGGCTCACTTTGACCCTTTCGCTCGGACGGAAGTTTGGACCAATGCTAGTGGTCACGGAATCGGAGCCATGTTAGCCCAGCGCCAACGGGGACAAGACCTGAGTTGTCGCCTACGCTAGCCGCCTCCTCACAGCTGCTGAGCGCAACTATTCTATTACGGAGCGTGAATGTCTTGCTCTTGTTTGGACAGTCTCAAAGTTCCGCCCATATTTATGTGGCACTAATTTCTCTGTGATAACTGACCATCATGCGCTATGTTGGCTTACGTCACTGAAGGATCCTACTGGCCGGCTCGGGCGCTGGGCTCTACGACTCCAAGAGTATACCTCTACGGTGACGTACAAGTCCGGACGCCTACATGAGGACGCAGACTGCCTTTCGCGCTAACCGGTCGCTCAGTCGAGCACTATGCATGACACCGACACGGAGCCGTACGTCTTTTACCTTTTAAGTGTAAATACACTTTATAAGTGACCCCAAACCATCCACCGCCGTCGGCGGCGTCCACAGTCTTCTCTCTATCTTTAAAAGAAAGAGGACTTGGTGGGCCGCAGCGCGACGCTCTACCGAATAAGCCACGGACGCGAGGCTGATATCGGTGTCAGTAACGCGCCTTATACCACCTCCCCCTTCGCTCGCTCCTCCGCTCTCTTCGCTCGCTACAGCTGCGCGCGCACCGCTCTTTCTCGCGCGCCCGCCTTCTCTCTCAGTCTCCCATCGAGAGCGGGTCGTGCGATGGATGTCCCGGAGGCAACGCTACCATCAACAAGGAATGCAGTACAACCAAATGCCAGCACTGCACCCGTTGTTGGAGGTGACGGTACCGCGGTGGTTTCGCCGACGTTGGAAGACAAGGTGGCGCTGCGAAGGGCTCGTGAGACCGAACGTAAACGGGCGAAGCGTGCAGCGGATGCCGAACTGCGTGCTCGTGAGGCCGAGTGCAAGCGGGCGAAGCGTGCAGCGGATGCCGAAATGCACGCTCGCGAGGCCGAGGACAAGCGGGCGAAGCGTGCAGAGGATGCCGAACTTCGCGCTTGCGAGGCCGAGGACAAGCGGGCGAAGCGTGCAGCGGATGGTGAACTGCGCGCTCGCGAGGCCGAGATGAGGCGTCAGCATTGAGCCGCGAACGCGGCCCAAGAAGCGGAACGACAACGCAAGCGTCAGGCGGAGAAGGGCGATGAAGGCCGGCGTCAAGACGCCGCTCGCAATCGTCAACGGCGAGTGGATGTTCCCGAAGCCGTTCCAGCCAGTGAACGTGCCGCGCGGGAGAGGGTGCGAGCCCTGGACTTTGCTCGTCCGGACGCGTCGTGAAGTGTAAATAAATAATACTTCGTATATAATGTATCTGTGTACAAATGCTTCATGACAAACAACACTTAAATTCATTTATTACACTTTAATCATCATCATCAGTAACAAAACTCCCAAGCATTTCCCCGAGGGTGAACATGGTTAAGTGCGAATGCACGGGGTGACGCTATGAGGGAGAGTAAAGTTAAAATCCGTTGGCATTCGCCAGTGAGTTAACGTAAACTCCCCCGTTTGATCAAATTGTGATTCCCAGGAACCATTATACCATAAAGGCACCATAGTGTGAATAATAAATATAATAGTGCGAATTAATAAATACCCCTCATAGCATCACCCCGTGCATTCGCTCTTAACCATGTTCACCCTCGGGGAAATGCTTGGAAATTTTTGCAAATGACATGCATCGGTAACGAGCAGCGCTATAATGCGTCCTTGCGTGCTATCATTTAGCGCCTCGAATTACCATCTTCCTGTCAGTCCGATCGCTCATTCGTGCTCCACGATGGTCTATTATACCGCCAAAGTTTTGAGCCAGATGGACCGGCTCTGCTGCTTGTCATTCCGAAACACCTTCGCTCGGAAGTTCTACATAAACTTCACGACCTTCCGACTGCTGGTCACCTTGGTGTGTCACGCACTTACGACTGAATACGCCGACGCTTCTACTGGCCTGGGCTTGCACACTCAGTCAGAAGATACGTTGCGGCTTGTGAGAAATGTCAGCGCCGCAAAACGCCATCAACACTTCCCGCCGGACGCCTCCAACCACTTCATATTCCGTCAGAACGGTTCTTCTGCGTTGGCTTGGACCTACTTGGCCCTTTTCCTTTGTCTTCTTCGGGTAACAAGTGGATAGCCGTGGCCACCAACTACGCCACGCGTTATGCCATCACACGAGCTCTCCCAACAAGCTGCGCCACAGATGTCGCCGACTTCCTCCTCAAGGACGTGATTTTGCAACACGCAGCCCCACGGCAGCTGATTCCAGACCGTGGCCGCACCTTTTTGTCGAAGGTCATAGCCGACATCTTGCAGTCCTGTAAAACGAGACACAAGCTGACTACGTCTTACCACCCGCCAACCAATGGACTCACGGAGCGCCCAAATCGAACTCTTACAGACATGCTCGCTAAGTATGTTTCTACCAACCACACCGACTGGGATCTCGCGTTGCTGTACGTCACATTTGCCTACAATTCTTCGCGCCATGACACTGCCGGTTACTCTCCATTTTTTCTGCTGTTTGGCCGAGAACCAACATTGCCTCTAGACACCGTCATTCCGTCCCCTGGAGTACCAACCAGTGAATATGCCATGAACGCTATCACTCGGGCCGCTTACGCACGCGAAATCACCCGTACTCGCCTTCTGACCTCTCAAGAGAAGCAACGGCGCTTGTATGACCAATGACACCGCGACGTACACTTTCCGCCCGGTTCTTTGGTACTGCTCTGGTCTCCGACCCGTCAAGTTGGCTTGTCAGAAAAACTGCTTACTCGCTACACAGGCCCATGCCGAGTCCTTCGTGTGGTTACGCCTATAACATATGAAATTCGTCCTGCCACCCCGTTGCCTTCATGTGCCCAACAGGCTACCGATATTGTACATGTTGCGCGCTTGAAGCCCTACAACTCTCCTAGTGACGTTGACACCTAAATGCGCCGAGGCGGCGCTTGCGCCGCTGGGGGTTGTGCTACATGCATATATATTGATATTCTAGGGGGCGACGCACGTGTGTTCCTGACGAGGAAGACGAAGAGTGGTCTCCGCTCGCTCGCTGGTGAACCGGGCACGCCATTCCCGCTGGTTTTGAATATACCTAATCCCCAGCCTCTTCGTTACGGTGTCTCTTCTTTTCCGTAACAATATATTACAGCGCAGGCAAGACATCGCCCGGTTGGTAGGCCCCAACCTGTGTGCGGCGCTGTTGGACTTTAACAACGCGTTTTGTTCAGTCCCGCACCAGGCTTTGCTCTACGCCCTGCGTGGTGCTGGGGCCGGCTCCGTGTTTACGGAGGTAATGGGCGACTTGTACATGGATAACATCACCTGTATCCTGGCGGCCGAGGGAACCACCGAGCCGATCCCAATTCTGGCAGGGCTACGTCAGGGTTGCCCACTGAGTGGAATCCTCTTCAACTTGGTGATCGACCCGGTCATCCGCGCAGTGCAGGGTGGTGGTTTCGACCACAAGATCCTTGCCTACGCGGACGACCTGACTCCACTGGCCTCGACTCCGCGCAGACTTCACCAGCGCATCCCTCGGATCGAGACCCTCGCCGCGTCCCTGGGCCGGTCCTTAAACCCGTCCGAGTGCGCATCTTTCCACATGGTTGGATCGACACCTGTGGGGATGCACACGATGGAGTTCAGTTTCTCGCGCATCCCCATCTCGGTACTGCGTGACTTCGAGCCGCAGCGGTACGTGGGACGGCTCATCGTCTTTCGGATCCCCTCTGGCTCAGGTTCCGTCGTCGAATCCGCTGTCGCCCAAGCCCGGGCGATCATGTCGTCGATGTTGGCGCCGTGGCAGCGTCTGGATGCCCTCCGGACCTTCGTCTACCCGGCGCTCAACTTCCCGATGCGATGCGGCGTCCTGTCTACGACGGACTGGCGCCGACTGGACGACGCCATTCGGCCGCTGGTAAAACGGACGCTTTACCTGCCTACCAACGCGGCCACCAACTATATTTACGGTTCCGCCTCCGGTGGTGCCGTCGGGATCCCGGTTGCGGCGGAGCTTAGCGACCACTGCCGCATCGACTCCGCCTTCAAGCTTCTGACGTCCGCCGACACCGAGCTGTGGCAGATGGCATTGGACGACGCTCACTCGTTCGCCACTGCCCGTCTCGACTGGGAGGTCGCCCGCGCGGAGCTGGAGGCCTACCTCGGGGCATCACTTGCAGACGGGTTCTGGGTCCGGGCCACCCAGCTGTGGTCAGTCTGGACAAACGCCCGTAAAGCGTACCGTTGCTACAACGTCGCCTGGACCCTGGATCCGGGTGGCTTCCAGCTCACCTGCGGTGACGCCACGATCACCCCACAGCACCGGTGCCGCGACATGCGCACACTACGAGAGGTGCTGGCCACTGAACGGGACCGCGCCCTGCACGACCTTCGCAACCAGGGTAAAGTGCTGGCCTCCGCGGCGGCTGATCGCGCCAGTTCTCATTTTATGCGTACGGGCGCCTTCACCTCTTTCGCGGACTGGCAGTTTGTGCACAGGGCCCGCCTCAACCTCCTACCCCTCAACGGCCCTTGCATGTAGGGCGCGCCGGACAGGGACCAGCGGTGCCGCGTTTGCGGGTACCTGAAAGAGACAATGCCACATGTGGTATGCCACTGCATACCTCGCAGTGCGCTCTAACAGGCCCGCCACAACGCCATCGTGGATCGCGTCCGGACCGCCGCCTCCCGCGAGTTCACGGTGGCCTTTGAGAACCAGGCTGTCGGAGACACGGGCCTGAGTCCGGGTCTCCTCCTGGTGCGTGGCGATGAGGCAATCGTCATCGACATCACGTGCCCCTTCGACAATACGCCAGACGCCTTTGAGAACGCCCGAAATGCCAAGCTGGCTCATTACGAGCCGGTGGCGGCGTTTCTCCATAACGGGTATCAGCGGGTCACCGTCGACGCCGTCATCATGGGTGCCCCCGGCGCTTGGTACTCGGCGAACGATCGCGTGCTTCGCCGCATCTGTTCGCGTCCCTACTTGCGCCACTTAGAGAAACTTTGTGTGAGTGAGGTCATCGCTGCGTACCGCGCGATTTACCAAGAACACTTACGGCAAAGCCATTGAATAACTCGCGTCGGTAGCTATTGCATGAAGCCCTGATACGGGTATGCGTGCTCGCCCCTTTGTGTACAATTGCTGTCCTGGCATGCGATATTTCACATTGTCACGCGCCGCGCTTTTTTCGGCCGTGTTGTACCACGTTTCTGTTTAAGTCTGTCGCAAAAACTTTTTTGGCGGAAGCCATGTCCCTAGTCTCGACTCATTCAAGTACAGCCCCATTATTATAATAAAGCAAACCGGCTCGTGGCTTTCCCACTTTCGATCTTTACAGCCAAAAGACGAGAAAATGTCCCTCCTGGGGAGGCGGCCGCCCTGGAAGGTCCCCCTTCTCCTGGTAGCACGGATCATCGCTGTACCTGTGTCTACCCGGTTCCTCTGCCCTGCTGTACCACCAAAGGAGTCTGGCCATCTACCGACGCGGCAGGCCCACCAGCGGGAGCAGACGTCCGCCGTGAGTGGTGAGTGTCTAGAAGCCTTTTCTTGCCTGCCACTCCCGGCCCGGTCATCATTGCCTGCTTGCGACATCCACGAGCCGCGGTCCTCGTGACCACCTCGCTGCCGTCGTCGTCCGAGCCTACCGACCTTGACATCAAGCCACGGGGACGTGCACAACTACCGACGCGGCGTTCCAGTCCAGCCAGAAGGAGAAGACGCCCTCCGGGAGCGGTGAGAGTCTACAAGCCTGTAGTGCCATCATCACCATCTTCAGTTTCTCAATCACCGCGCCGCGTCTCTCGCGCAGCTGATGCTAGCTCGAGCTGCGCGAGGATTAGAACAAGCTAGCGCACTTGGTGTGTCGGACGTGGAAAGCCACGCGGCTCCGCTTCAGGCGTGGAATAAAGTGGCGAGAGAATGACACGACCACGTTGGCTGCCGTCCCGTCTTCCTCTCTCGCTACAAGCCTTTTCTTGCCCGCCACTCCTGGTCCGGTCGCCAAAGCTCGCTGGTGACACCAACAGACCCCGGTCCTCGTGACCACCTCGCCGCCGTCGTCGTCGTTGCCCGGGTCTCCCTACCCGGTCATCCGTCCTTGAGGTCCTGCCACCTGGAGGAGTCCCTGCCTGGCCATGCCTACCCCCCGCCAGCCACCTGCCGTGTCCATCGAGTCGCTCGCCCTGGGTACCTCTCGCCGCCGGTGGCGTCTCGCTTCCCCTTCAGGGTCAAGCACACCGGCGCCGCCCCCAGCCCAGCGGCCTCGTCCTGGCAACCCGGCGTCTACTGGCGTTCCTGCGGCAGCATCGGGCCCTTCTCGCTTTCGACCGCCCCTCGTTTACCAGGGCATCATGACGGTGTACCTGCCGGTGCCCGAGATGCTGCGTTGCACTTATCCCGGTTGCGCGGGCTGCCAAGCCCGCACATCAGTATCGCTCCTACTGTCCGCTGGCGGTCCCACATGGAGCGAAAGCATGGGGTTCGGCCAACGAGGCGTCTCTAGTGGTGCGTCGCCTGTGATGCCCGGTTGACTTTGTTGTCTGCCTACCACGACTGTCCGGGTCCTGCCACGAACGAGCCCTTCCACCCATGCCGGTACTGCCCGAGTTATTTTAATGGCGAGTGCTCCTTGACCCGGCACACCATGGCACGCGCAAGAGGAATCCCTCGCATATGTACCTCGTGGCATTCCACGGCAGCTTACGGCGACTTCTTCCAGTTCATCCGGTTCAGCGACCCCTCCATCCCATGTTCCAGCTCCTTCGGGTACAGCTTGCCGAGATCCACCTGTACCTCAGACCCGAGCCACCGTTTCCCGGTCTGGAAGACGTCGTCGAGGCACGTTTTTCACATCGACGTCACCCTCGAGTGCTGCGTCGGTCTCCAGCACTTCGGCAACTGGTTCTCCGTCGACGTAACGCTTCAGGGCGTCTACTATACCGGGCCAATCTTCAGCCACTACTGGCCCCGGTTCTTCGACGCCTCGGCAGTCGCCGTAGGCGTTTGGTGTGTAGCGACACCACGGACCCGAGCTAACGGAGGAGTTTCGGCTCCCTCCCACGCCTAGACGTGCGTGGCTTTGCCGTGTCCGAGGAAAAGGGGATCCTGGGGGTTGAGCCAATGCTGGGTGATTGGACCTTTAAGGCCCGCCGGCAGAGGCAACACACCCCTTTGGACCCGGCTTCACGTAGACGGCATCCCTGGGCTGACCCACCCAGGGGAAATCGGCAGTCGCCTATTCCTATCTCTCTCTTCCTACATCGTTGTCTTTTCTCGTCTTTAAATCTATCCTGTCTTTTTCTCTCTTCCACTTACTTCCGATTTTTTCTGGCGGCAAGGGTTAACCTTGTGTATGTGCTCTGTCTTGGGCACAATATATTTGGTTATAGCGGCTGTGTACAGCTGACGTTGACATGCCTCATATAAATTTAGGACTTGTCACATCCCCGTGTTGGGCTCCATGGTGGGCGGCTGGCATGGCTGCCGAACTCATATTTAGTTTATGGCTTTTTCTTCTCTCTCTTTATTGCACGATCGTCCTCTCTCGAAGAGAGGGCGCACCGAAGACTTTTGCAATTATTTCAGCAAACCGAAAGAAACCTTTCGCCACTGTGAATCCACTGTTAAATTGCTGAAAAGAACGCCAGAACTATTTCGCCTTTCGTTGTTTCCAAATGCCTCACCACTACACTTGGACCAGGTTACCAGGCTACAAGAATGGCCAGTGGGGATCTCCTCCTCGAGGTAAAAAATCAGAGCCAGTATGAAAACCTCTCAAAACTAGAATTGTTTGGAAACATTCCTATCTCAATTACACCACACCGCTCACTCAACACTTCCCGAGGCGTTGTATCTGATCAAGACTAGCTTGGCCTGACTGAAGGTGAGCTCCTCGAGGGCTGGAAGGACCAGCTGGTGACAAAGCTGGTACAAAGAATCAAAATTAGGCGTGATAAGAAGGAAATCGCAACAAAACACATAATTGTGACGTTTTGCATCAGTACCCTGCCTGAACATCTCGAAACAGGATTCTTGAAGTTGAATGTGAGACCCTACATTCCCAACCCACGACGTTGCTTCAAATGCCAGCGTTTTGGTCACGGTTCTCAGAGTTGCCGCGGCCAACTGACCTGCGGAAAGTATGCCACCACAGGACACGCCACAGACGAGTGTAAGGTGGAGGATGGGGCCCACTGCGCAAACTGCGATGGTGCCCATCACGCATACTCCCGAACCTGTCCAACAAGGAAAAAGGAAAAAGAAATTGTTACAATCAAAATCACACAAAACATTACTTTCCGAGAAGCCCGTCAACAAGTATCTCGTCTTTTCACAAACAAACTATCGTTCGCCGATGTAGTGCAACAGGGGGCAGCACTACAACGGCCTGCGGCAACTGCCCATGCCAGGCACAGTGTGCCCAGGCGGTTGCCAATGCCCCCACCCACGGTGGGAACAGCCAAGGCTGCCCTGCCCCTCATCAACACGGCGACACCCACGGCCGCTGCAAGCTCTTGCAGCAGCCAGGGTATCCCAGCAGCAAAGGAAGCCCCTTCGACCTCTAGACCAAGAAGACCGAAGGTTTCGCCCCCCCGAGGTGAAGGAGACCTCAGGGTAAGCCGATATGAAGGCCTCGTCTCACCAGGCGGGGCCCCAAGTCCAAAACATCAGCTCGCAAATGCGGGCACGCAGTGCCTCCGAGGAGGCAATGGGCACCACGGTACCCCTGGTACCAAAAGATCGGCGTATACCCCTGGAGCGCGCCAAAAGAAATAAAAAGCCAATAACGGGGCCCGGCAATGGCCCTGTTCTTTGAGTCTTAACATTTAGCTTAAGAAGCAGACACACCCATTTTTCCTTACACACAGCACTACGTTACCTCCAATATGGCAACACAAATAATACATTGGAACGTCAGAGGACTGCTTATAAACCTCGATGATGTTCAAGAGCTCTTTTGCAAACATTCGCCGAAAGTGCTGTTTGTACAGGAAACTCGTTTAAAATCTAAAAACACAAATTTTTGGCGTCGGTATGTTCTCTTCCGAGAGGACAGAGATGATGCTGCGGCATCATCCGGTGGTGTAGCCGTTATTGTTAATCAAAAAGTAGCATGCACACATTTATCACTGCAGACAACACTAGAGGCAGTGGCTGTTCGAGCAGTTCTTTTCAACAAGCTCGTCACCATCTGCTCTCTGTACATACCCCCACACCACCGTCTTGGAAAACGAGAATTCGAGTCCTTAATAGATCAACTACCCGAACCTTATCTAGTCCTTGGTAACCTGAATGCTCATAGCAGTCTATGGGGTGATTATCGCTGCGACGCACGAGGTTGTCTCATTGAACAGTTCCTTTATTCCTCCGGTGCCTGTCTGTTGAATAGGAAAGAGGCAACATATTGTTACGTGATTTCGTCTGACTGAAAAAGGGCATAGTGGGGCATACCCAAGAAAAGGTGCCTCAGACTGATAGAAAAGAAGTGGACGTTGTTGGTGAGCTGCATTGTGGCTGCGGACTGACAGCTGTTATTTTCC